ATATATATATATATATATATATATATACACCTTTTGTCGTATTTGCAATGTAATTTCCTCCTTTATATTCATAGGGCGTATAGCGTGACGCAAGTGAAGCGATAAACTTGCGGTTCATTTGACTCGGAGGGCTTTAAAACATCCCGCCCGAAGAGCTGTTATACGACTGAGATTCATTTGCATACGCGGCACGTAATCTGATTATCGACTGACTAGGATGTTCGAGGGAATCAATATCAATATAATATAATACGAATATAATTCGGCAACGAGCGCGAATCGAGCGTAGCAAGCAATGCAGTAAACCTTTAAATGCTATTATGATTTCGCGTCGCGCAAATGGTACCGCGCGTTGTACATTTTCATCCAGGAACACACACACACACACACACACACACTTCCAGGAATATTTCACGTCGCACAAAGTATAACAACATGATTACAGTTGACGCGGGCGCGTTAAACTTTGCCACTAATTAAACTTCCGTAATTTATCGTCGGTTGAGGAGAAAGTTCTTGGAGAAAAATCAACAAATGGGTTATGAGCACGGACCGTAGACTTCCGAAGGAGATTTCCCAAAGTTTTCCGAGATTCTCTCTCTCGCGAAGCCACGGAGTTATTTTGGTGGCTTAAGATGCCCAATCCTATTTCGTCTCGAAGTGCATTCTTATGCAGATGGATTCGAAGCAAGAGAGCTTGGTCGTATTAATTCTCTGAATACCTATTTCAAGTGGCACAAGTGCGTTATAATTTCATTAATATTGTCCCATTTTCACATTATAGTAAATTTTATTTTATAATTCTGGAGGTTTTAGTACAGCCGGAAAGGCCATTGTAAAAGATAAGTGGAAAATATTCTACAACCTGAAAATAAAGTTTCATATGAGCAAATGTTAATAAAACTTCATTTTCAGGAAAATGGACTTTATATATTCGCTATATGTATGTGTGTTTTGACACTCTTAATGGATCTCACTGTAGACTACTATCTCTGTTCATGTTTGTGTTTATCGTGTCGGGTAATCGAGAATATACAGGAGATCGAGAATAAATAAAATATTCACGCATGATAAATTTCATTACTTTATAAATTATTGAAAATGTTGCCCGAGGACAAAGCCTGAAATTTTATTCCATTATTTTCAACTTATATTTACATGAGGAATTACTTGCTTGATCTGCTTCCCTATTTCCGGAACATTCTCTGTGATTGACATGTTTTCATACATGTTATTGATATCAAAAGAATATATGTATATATTTTTTTAAATTGATTTTATTTAATCCTCTATAATTTTTTTGTCATAATATCAAAAGGCACTGTATAAAACGATAAAAGGTAGTGTTCAGAATGACATAAATTTTATATTTCAGTTTATTAATTGTATTATACATTATTACCATTGGCGTGACAACTCAAATCAAGCTTGACCAAGAAAAAGATATCAACACTCCAAGTTGGCCATTGCCTTCCAGGAGAGATGAAATAAAAATTGGTCTTAGCCAAATTTAAACTCGAGATTTTAGCACAGAAAGTATAGACACGCAACTCTCTCTGCGCCATGATTGTCACATATTAATTATATTATTAAGAATGCTTCAATTTAATCGGCACACAATGTAAGTATTTATTCACGTGACTATAATACTTGATCTACGCTTTTTCTATAGAAAATTATCAGGGATAGATATCCTTTCTTTGTGTGGAAAAGATCAGTGATAAAGTGAATAATGTGTTTAGAAATATTTTCTCCGATTGTTTGTGTCTTCGGTGGCAGTCACGCACGTGGCATGCAAATCGTGCCATTTAGGTGGCGTCGCGGCAAGACGCGTTTCTGTTCCTTCGAAGCGTTTTATACTCGCGGTGATTCGGTACGGTGCATTAAGCCGGGCTGCCGTTTACTGCAATTTACCAGCGATTCTTCGCAAACGATTATGGTTGCAACGAGGAGAAGTTGGAGCGCTTCCGGGCGAAGCTTCCTCATCGAGGCGAGGCTGTAAACGCCGTGTGCCATAATCGTTGTCTCTCTTCCGGCTTGTCCCCGTTTAACCTTTCTATGTCACAAGTTTCTATTCTTATGGATATTCGGAAAAACCAGTTACGCGAATGATGACCTCGATCGTCAAGATTATCTTCCTCGAAAATGTATAGAAAATCTGTTTCACATGTTTCATTAAGAAATCATATCTCTCTCTGGTTAAGCGTGTCACAGTTGTCGATTTACTCTATAATATTTTAATCTCAAAGAACTATATTTACTTTTATTATGTATTTTAGATAAGCGAAATTAATACCAAACAATATTACGTTTTATCGATAATAATTATACAAAAAATTATGCGACAAAGGAGTCTTGTACAATATAATAATAAATGCAATAATAACGTATACACTGAACCAAAAATGTACGTAAATACAATAAAAGTATTCATTGGTATTAATAAAAAATTCATTAAAATTGGTCCAATGAACAATTTTATTCCTA